GAAGGCTCTTTTCCACAACTTCAGTATTTGAGAGGGCTCAATTAAAAAGAGAAGGCTCAATTAAAAAAAAGAGAGGGCTCTTTTTTTGTTCCAAGTAAGCTACGAAAAATGCATCTTCAAAATAAAGAGCAGGCTCAAGGTTTTACAAGAGCAGGCTCTTTCTAATGAAAATGAACAAAGAGCAGGCTCACAGTTTTACAGAGCAGGCTCTTTCTAAGGGAAAAATGATTATTCAAAATAAAGAGACGGCTCACTTGTTTACAAGAGACGGCTCTTTCTAAGGAATAAATGAACAAAGAGACGGCTCACTTGTTTTAAGAGCAGACTCTTTCTGGGTTTTGAACTGCAACGGAATTATTTTCATTAAATGTTTCCCAACAACCTGTAACAGCTATATTGAGTCTCAAAATTCTATAAATACAGAGGGCTAGCATGCTAAATCAACTACCATTGTTGAGAGACATTATATTGCATCAAAGAGAGCTGTTGTTCTCATATCTTCTCTTCTTCTCTCTCATTTCACGCTTATTCTATTTTGAGAGATTCAATCAAGCATTCAAAGGGCTTTTGCTCTTATTTGAATCCTTATAGAGTTTTTGCTCTATTATTTACTTGAGAGATTGTAAAAGCTTACATTCTTCACTTATATCATCTTCTCTCATTCATATCATTTATAGAGTTTGAGCTTCACTTATATTCATATATACTCTAGTTGAGAGCTAAAGTTTGTACATCAATCTTTGAAAGATATTTCTTGTGAGCTTGCACTTGTATATCTATCTTGAAAGAGATTCAATCTTGTATTTCAATTACAATCTTTTCTACAAACTTTTAAGGGTTGGTGTGACCCAAAAGAAGCCTAGGAGAAGGGTGTTCTCCTAGCAAGGAAAAGAAGCAAGGTCTTGCTTCATGTAAAGGTTTGCTCTCCACCCGCAAGGAGAAGCTATATTGGATTGGGAAGTCTCAAGAGGGATCTTGAGCCGAGGAGTAGGAGTTTCCGAACCTCGCAAAAATCGCCGTGTTGTAGTTTGCAATTTCTCTTCCCTTTTCTCTTTTATAATTATGCTTTAATTGCTTATTTCATATCTTGATCTCATATCTTGATTATTGCATAATTACTTAAATTGTTGAATAGAAATTGTATTTCTATATATTGCGAAAATTGTCCATTGTTTGGCATTGACTCTATTCACCCCCCTCTAGAGTCAATTCTTCGGCAACAGTATCTTTCCCATAAAGCAAAGTATTGAATTAATGCTTATGGGTAGAACGTACCGACGTTAACAAAATAATTGTTTTATCCTCATCACTTACTTTGACATCAATATTAGATAAATCACAAATAATTTTGTTAAACTCACCAAGATGTTCTTGAAGGCTTACCCCTTCTTTTCTCTTGAAGGAATACAACTCTTGCTTTAAAACTAACATATTGGTGAGATTCGTTCCCATATACAGATTTTCCAACTTATTCCACATCTCTGCTGCTGAATCTTCTTTTATCACATCATATACAATATCATCTGCCTACGTTAATCGATTTGTACTCATTGCCTTCAAGTTGATCTTTGCCCAATCTGTATTTTCCTCTTTTCTAGTTGCTTACCCAAAGCATTTTCTAGACCATGATGAATCAGTAAATCCCGCATCCGAACTTGCCATAGATTGAAGTTATTTCTTCCATCAAAATTCTCGAACACATACTTTCCATCTGTAATAGTTGTTGCTATGGCTCTGATACCAATTGTTGGGATTTCACACACAATTGGGAAATATAACAAATAAAAAATCACACACAAGCAAAAAATGAAATTTACGTAGTTTAGCAAATTGCCTAGTCCACAAGCGAAGAAAAACTAAGTCCACAGGCGAAGAAAAACTAACTTTACTTCAAAAACTTGATTACAAACTATTTTCTCTCTCACAATCTCAACTTTCTTTTTTTTATTTTTATTTTTATTTTTTATTTTTATTTTTTATCTCTGATATAAAGTTTTCAAACCCAATACCTTGTTGTACAAGGATCAACTTGCCTACAATGAGTTACCATATTAGTCTTCAATTCTAAAATAGAGATATAACTTCTCCCCCAAATCTTATGGCTTCAAAACCAATAAGGAAAACAAATAATGTAACTTCCCAAGGGAGTTGAACAGGTTCAGCAACACTTAAATTGGTTCAACTTTATTACCCCAAAAGTGTTGCAACTCACTGCCTCACTTGAACTGGTTAAAATAAGGCAGTAGTCAAAGTCCAACTCATCACTCATTCAAAGTTCTTGAATTAGTTCAAACATGCCAGTAGCTTAGACTCCACCTTAGCTAAAGATTTCTCCACCTGAAATAAGGTACTATGATGAAATTGAGAAATACTCTAACATATGACATGATTATTACATAGGTAACACGACACGACATGACCCACATAATCTGTTTAATAAATGGTTCAATACTTTATATGATACGAAAAAACACAACAAGACACGTGTAAGTCATTTCTGATATGAACACGACACATTTATTTAATACGTTTAGCTAAACATGTTATTTTTTATACGAATACGACACATTTATCTGACACATTTAATTAAAAGGGTTAATCGGGTCAAACATGAACATGACACCTTTAATTACCGTGTCTATTCGGGTCGACACGATTACGATACCAACACGATTAAGTCAAACCTAAACTCACTTATCTCGTGTTAGCATGTCGTGTTAAATATTGCCATCCCTAATTTTAGTTGCAGCTAAATATATTATGATAATTTTAAATCAATGATGTAACATTTTCAAAATAATAATATAACAAATACGTTAATGTGTTGAATTTTTAATTTAATAATATTATACTATTACAATATAATATAATAAATTACATGAGTGTTATATTTTAATTTAATATTACAAGAGTGTTACATTATTATTGTTATAAGGTGTTGCATCTGTAATGTAAGTATATTTTATGATGATGTAACACTGTTAATCTAACAACACAGAGGTGACATGGGCGGAATGAAGAATAGGAGAGTATCTGGGTCTCCAAACTCCAAACCATTTGTCTGCTTATAAAAAAGGCCTTTGGGTGCAAAGCGTTGGTATTATTTGCACAAACTCTTTTAAAGAATTTTTAAAAGAGTTTCTATAAAACTCTAACACAAATTATTTATTTATAAATGGAGTGGGTCGTCACAAATGGTATCAGAGTCAGGTTGAGAAGATGAGTTATTCGACACCCAGAAAGAGTTGAATGAAGTTTTCATTGTTTACAAGATTATATTACCTATTTATTATGAGTTTTTTTAATAAAAGAAAATCTAATTAGACAAGAAAACATATAAAGAAAATAAATAATTTAGTCTTTCTATTTAGACAAGAAAATATATAAAAGAAATATATATGTCTTATTAGAAATAATTTATTATTGTGATTATTTTAAGAAATCAATTTTAAGTACCATTTTAAAAAATGATTATTTAATTATTTTTTTGAATATTAATTTTAGTATTTATTTATAAATATAAAAAATATTTATTAATTAATATAAAAATAATTTTTAAAAGAGTTTCTATAAAACTCTAACACAATTTACCTATTTTTTTTTTTTTTTTTTTTTTCACAATTCCTATTGAAAAATTTAATTAATAATAATTATTATTGTAATATATATAAAAAATTGTCTTGATTTTGATATTGTTTTAGAAGTTCAAAAATACACCTATCAATAATTGAGTTCCTATTAAAAATTTTAATTAATAATTATTATTTTTATCTCTTTTACCTTGTGTCAATTTTATGTTCATTGATCATTTTAAAGTTTTTGCTAATTATGTTTTACAAAATAATTTTCAAATTTATTATTGTAAAGATTTTGTAAATTGTTATCATTATTCAATCTTGTAATCGATCTATTTATCTTAATTAATATATCAGTGTAATTATTTTAAGAAATCTATTTTAATTACCATTTGAAAAATAATTATTTAATTACTTTGTTGAATATTAATTTTAAATTAAATTTTACTTACGTGTAATGCACGTACCATTTTACTAGTATACATATATATATATATATATATATAAAAGAAAGCTCTTGAAATTCAATCTTAATATATTAGATATCTACTTTTCGTGAAAAGATTTTTTCCCAGATATATAATAAATTAAATAAATAAATATACCATAGGTTTTACCATGCAACAAATAATATATGAACATGTATAACGTGTAAGATCTAGTTGATTTACATAAATGCATGTATATTATTGCTATGCAAACGAATCAATTAAAAAAAAAAATTAAAAAAAATAAAAAAAAAATGTTACAATCATTTCTCATGTTGATTTTACTAGTCTAAATAAGTGTCGGTTAGAAATTAAATTTAAATTACTAGTCTAGATAGATGCAACTATTTAGATAGTGACTTTTGGAAATAAGGGTCACATTAGTTCAGATGGTGACTTTTAAGTTTTAAATCACAACCTTTGGTACTCTATAGTACTTGCTCAAATCCTTTATCAGTCTAAATTAGAAACAATTTCGTTAAGTGTTCAGAAAATCTCTTCAATATAGTTAACTGTAGTATTCCAATGATTTTGTTACATCCAACAGGTGTTCTGTCAAGAATCTGATAACGAATTCTTTCCACATTGCAAGAATGATGCAAAAGCATGAACTGAAAAAAAAAAACAAAAAAAAAGTGTCCAGACTACGAAAATATCAAAATGTTAGTTTCAAGTGACTTAAATGGTAGATGGAAATTTATATAAACAAAAACAACTGCATGATATTTTTAAGAGAAACTTTAAAAACAGTGTTATGCTGTACAATCATACATATGATGCAAAAGTAGGTGCTTATTTATCACAAGTACAACAATAATAGCATGACTGAAAAATGAGAAATTTAAGCAACTCCATTACTAAGAAGAATAGTAATTGAATTTTTTTTTCAACTTTTGTTTCTTATTTGCATACTTTTCAGAACATAAGAAGCACCAGAAAGAGTCGATTTGAGACACGACAAGATAACATAAACATATTTTTTGTGTTCATATTCACCTCCATAGATAATTTAAGCAGTTGTTTCAAGAAATGGATAATCAGTGTAGCCAATAATAGGATCTGGTATATAGAATTTGTCTCTGTTGTACTTGTTGAGAGGCGCAACAAGCTTGAATCTCTTTGGCAAATCTGGATCTGTGCGGTTCTCAGCCACAGCTCCGTTACCATCTTCCCTGTCATAACCCCCGGCAACAATGAAAGTACCATTGAAAGCCTTTCTCATGGGCAGAAGACTATGGGGGCATTCAACTTTTCCTTCTAAAGTTTTCATCCTAGGCTCAACCATGTGACAGAAGAGAATACCATATTTGCTCAATGATTCAGCCATATAGAGGCCTAAAGCCTCTGGGTTTGAGTCTCCTGATTCCATGTAATTTGCAAAGGGAGAAAGCCTTATTCCCACTCTATCTGCTTCAATCTCATTAGCGACAGCTTCAACTATTTCTAGAGTGAATCGGCAACGATTTTCCAGAGAGACTCCATATTTGTCTGTGCGGTCATTGACCTCATCTTTCATAAACTGGTCTATTAGGTAACCATGAGCCCCATGGATCTCAACTCCGTCAAAACCTGTGAATCAAACAAACATCACTGAATCAGAATATGAAGAGTCACATAGGCCGTGTTTGGTATTCTGAAACATACCGCAGGGCACATTTCAATAGATTTCCCAACAATCAACTTTGTAGAATAGAAATATTATTGAATTCTTAAGCTTTGGAGAATCCTCCAGTCAAGAAAACTGTTTTAACCTTTTTCTCTGAGACACTGCCTTCAAGGAAGTTTCTCATATTGCCCAGGTATTCTACAATAACAGGATTATAACAATTGACGCACCACAATAACGAATGGATACACTCCTTTACCATCATCTCAGTATCTGTTCAAACAAATTTGCCTTAACCATAATATGCTGCTGATTTTTTTATTTTTTTTCTTGTTCTTTTTCTTTTTCAAACTTCTTTTTTCTTTATTATATTTGAAAAGGAAAATTTTGCTCTTTGTTTTTTTTTTTGCAAGATTAATCATTGTGAATGGAGATATTATGTGTCATTACAAATGATTCGTTGAAAGAAAATACACCCTTCCCGTAAAACTATCAATTAATTAATGCAGCAAGTTCTGGAGCCTTTTTTTTGATGGACCAGCTTCAAAAGTGACATAACTAAATAACTAGTTGGTTCTACTAAATGTCAAAATGTATCCTTCCTTTCTTATATTCAATTTGGCTATGTAGGTGATGGAATCCCACAACTTGCAGCATAGGCAGCACATGGGAAGTGATTCACCGTGTCATGCCTTGACTACAGTTTTGTGGACTAAGAGAGTGTACCTAGGAGGTCATGCCATAGGGATCTTCTTACTATAATCACACTAAAGTCTGTATACAGTACATGTAGAGACCCAGATTCCTTTTTTTCTTTTTTCCTTGTGTTTTGTCTTGATTTTGTGGTGGGGATTTTGTTTCGGGTGTCTAGATTTGTTTTCTTTCCTTTGTCAAGTTCAGGTGTGGGCCCGGGGCAATTCTTATACTCGGGAATGGTCAAGGTCTCAAATGAAAGTCATTTGAGACTAATTTGGGAAGAGTGAGAAGAGGGAGTGCTATTTGGCAATTTCTCGAAAGTTGCTTGAAGGAAGGGAGTAATTAGTGAGAAAGTTGGGGTTTAAGTATGTAATTAAGGCAAAGTTGAAATGATATAAAAGAAAAAGGTGGGGAATGAGACCCACACAAGTCGTCTTTCACTTTCTCTCATTATATCTACACTTGTACACCCACAAATCATCTCCAACTTCTCTCTAAGATTTAAAGGCCAAGGAGCTTGATTTTGGAGAAGCCACTTAAGAGAAAGTTATTCTCCTTGTGATTCTCTATGATTTGATTGGTCTGAAATTTTGTTTTGGAGCACTTGAAGTTGGTGAGATTCTAAGGTTTTCTCATCTTGAGGTAGGAGTGTGTTAATCCTCTTGACCACAATTCTCAAGCCGTGTTTATATGTTTTATTTGATTTCTAGCAAGCTTTAGAAACGTGTTACTTAATATGTTAAATTTGTGGTGGTGTTATGTGTATTTTCCTATTAGTATATTTGTGATGCTAGAAATGTGAGACTCTGTTGTACATGCTTATTTTGGGTTTGGTTGGTGTGGAATGCCATGATATGCACAAAATGTTGAGATAAATTTCATGCAACTACCGTGTATTTAATTAAATGCCCAAGTGATGAAATTTTGCTCTTGGAATGCGTTTTGATGTTATTGAGTAAGAAATCTGCATCCAGTGGTATATGACACGGTAGATGCATAGTAACGGTGCATGATGTGAATGTTGAACCCACTGCTTGGGTGTGCATGGTATATGGTACAAATGTGTTATGGTTAGGGGTGCACATGGTTCCGGTTCTCATGGTTCCGGTCGGAATCGGAACCGGAATTGTTCACGATAGTTCCTTAAAAAAGGAACCGGAACCGTATAGTATGGAACTGTGGAACTGGACCAGAACCGGAACCATAGAACCGATTCGGTTCCGGTTCGGTTCCACGGAACCGTTGACTGAGGAAAGAACGTGCTCACATGGAATGAAGAAACAAAGACCTTAACCATTAGGGTTTTAACTAGCCACAACAATGTGCCCGCCAATAGGCACAACAGAATCTTATTCACAAACTGAAGGAACTTATTGCTGTCGGTCTCATCCTCAACCCTCTTGTCAAACATGTAATGCCAAGCAATCAAAACAAGCCCTAACCAAATGCAATTCTAAACTGCCTTCCTCACCCCATACACAAAATACAAAACCCTTTTTCGGAGAAGAAAATTCCTCTCAACGAAGAACACAGCAATCCTAATCCCCCAACCGGACACCAATCTACCACATATCAGAACAAGAATCAAAACCTCCCATTTCCACCATTCCAACCCCCAAATTTTCTCTCTCTTCTAATCAGAAACTGATACAGTGGCAACCAAGAAAGTCACAATCAATACCAGATTGATCCATTGAATCATAGTCAGTGTATTGAGATTAGCCCTTTTCAACTCTTCCGGGATGTCGTCGTCGAACGGGTCGTCTTCTTCATCCTCCAACATTCCAGAGAACTTCCCTAACATCCCAGACTTGATCGGACCCGATTTTCCCTTTTCCGGTCTCCGGTCGGGAATTTTCGGTTGGTCAATTAATCTTGCCTTCGTCTTGGTCCTCAATATACTCTTCTGTCTCCTCTGGAAGATAATGAAGAGATGATAGTTTTTTCATGATTTCATCGGAAAATAAAAAAAGAAAAAGATGGGAGGAGGCGGCGGCTTCACCATTTGGTGAAGAGATGAGAGGTTTTTCATCTGAAGAAAAAAAAAAAAAAAAAAAAAAGATGGGAGGAGGCGTCTTCAACTTCACAGAGAAGAGATGAGAGGTTAGGTAGGTTTCACAGAGAAGATTTTTAGATTTTGCTTTATTGCATTTGTGGTTTCCAAGGACCGAGTCACGTGGGTGAGAAATCTAATGATTAAAATGGACTCCTTGTTGTTACTATACAATTAAATATATATGGCATTAAGGCAGACAAACGTACTTAGTAATATAATATAATTAAATATAGTATATATATATATATATATATATATATATATACATGGTTCTGGTTCCGGCGCGGTTCCACGGGTCTAGAACCGGAACCGGAACCGGAACCTTAAGTCACGGTTCCAAATTTTTAGAATCGGAACCGGAACCAGAACCGTGAGAATCGGAAAAAACGGTTCCGGTTCTCACGGTTTCAGTTCTTTTGTGCACCCCTAGTTATGGTGAATAAATGCTACCTTGTGGATTGGATGTTGATTCTGGGATTGGGTTGGTGATCGGTTGGTCAATTAAATATCAACCTTCGTAATAGCACGAATCATTGTAAAATAGGGCTATTGGTCGGGTAAGTCGAACCACTGGGACTGCGCTAATCTATGGCAACCTGAGTGTCTAGAGTCATTTTAGAGTGATAAGGGGTGTTCATAGAGGGTTTGTTTTGTTTGTCACTAAACTACAAATTCAGAATGCATAAAACAATAATTTGCAAAGAATTTAGGATGAAAAGATTAAGAAGAGGAGACTAGGGAAGTGAATCCGCCTCCATCCCTATACATATGCTAGATTAGACCTAAATTGGGGAAAAAACAACATATGATGGTCAAGACTTACATAGCAACACATGGTTGCCATGTAAGTAATCAAGAGGTACATTAGGTCTCAAACAAGTATAATCCATCAAAAGATAAACATGCTTAGACTACCTAACTAAGGTGTAGCTTATACACATTTACTTAAATGAGAGACTATCAAGTTCTTGACAAAATGATAAAGCACATGGAGTTAGAGATTAAGCATACACTATCAAAGGATTTCCTAAGCAATGGTCTATCAAAGTCACCTATCAACATGCCATGAAACCATTTCATAACCTTGCTTCCATTCTCACCATGAAAACTCAAGCAATATGATTACTCTAAGACATCATCTAAAACAAGATAATCAACTTAAAGGAATCATCCATACATGTATCAACATTCATTACAACAAATGATGTGCTCTTGGTTATGAAAAGACCATAAAATATACATGGCAAATCCCCAAAATAGACTATCCTAGGACATGCTTACAAGGGAGGGACTTCATCACCTCCCTAGAGAAAGAGTTAGTTACCCATTGCTAAGCTAGAAGAAGGAAGAAACTCCATCCAAGACTCCATTTTCGTGCTCCTATTGTAGCACTCAAGAACACCCTCTTCCTTGCTCTCCTCTCTCTCCTCTATCTTGCTAGAATATAGCATATCATTTTGTGTGGTCCTCCCTCTCTCTTATCAAGCTCAAGTGAAGGCTCTCTCTTCTCCAAGGAACACCTCCAACCACTTCATAAAGAAGGAAGATGGCATTGAGGAAACCAATGTGCAAGTGGTTGAAATTGAGCCATTTCCGAGTGCAATCTGCCTGAATTTCGAGCACTCGAAGGGTGGTCTCGAGCACTCTAAATTAGTGTAATGTGCAACATGCTCTTCTTGCTCAGCACTGACCTACTTTGGTAAAATAGCTATAACTTTGTGCTCCGAACTCCGAATGATGATTTGTTTGAAGATTTGGAGAGCTGATTCAGTGCTTTAAAAACTTCATGTTTTGATGAAGACCCAATTCTCAAGTCTGGTTGGTCGAAAATGGGGAGAAAGGCAGTACTTTAGTGCTGCCAGGCAGTTCTGCGCACCTTTGTTAAGAAGATCATAACTCTCTGCTCCGAACTCCGAATGATGAACCGCTTGAAGATTTGGAAAGCTTATTCAGAGCTCTAAATCTTTCATGTTATGATGGAAGTCCAGTTCTTGAGTTTTCTAGGTCGAAAATGGCGACAAAGAGTCAGGTTCTACTGTTGCCAGAAATTCAGAATTGGCACCCTTTTTGTTCAAAATTTCACAAGGCATCATTTTTGCTTCCTTTTTGCAATTTAACCTGAAAATGTACAAAAACATGCAAATGGAGATAATCTACATAAAATAATCAATTAATGAACTTTGTTAATGTAATTTAGGGCGCTTGAATATACAG